TTCTAAAATCAGTAAACATATCCTCAGGTGAAGATTAAAATAAAATCAGTCATGGCAAAGCAACCACAAATGTCCTGAAAAAAATATTCACTTATATTCTGCCTTTTTCCAAATAAGGATTGGCAGTAACCTACAGTCTCATATATAATTCATATCCGAATGTCCTTAAATAGTGGTAATTCCAATGATAGCTTTGGAAAGTTGATATTCTAAAATCAAGAAGATTCCTTTTTTTGTCATTTCTAAGTTAATTCACCTCTTTAGTGATGCAAGGAGAAAGTTACAAGCTTTGTGTTTCTAGTTAGGGAGGGAAAGCAAGTATCATTGCTATTTGAAAGATTTCAGAGAAAAATACCAGTCAAGTTGGTGAGGCAGTCATGCACAACTAAGGAGAGAAGGAGGTTTGTAATCCCTTCTAAGCTCACATTTCCTTTGAGAACCTTTCCACAAATACTAAAAATAACCTTCCCCCTAAGAAAATGAGTACTCTGCCAAAACAAGCATAAGTTATTATCTTGACAGTGAACAGTAGGTGATATACATGTATTCCAATGTGAATCATTAAAATTAAAAAATAAAACCTGAGTAGCAAGACAGCTTAAATCAGTGCCAGATTTTAAAAGAAGAAAAGACAAAAAATATGCACAGCTACTTCCTAAAGAAACTATAATTACTAAATTCAACTATGCATAGTGCAGAGATCCCAAAGAGATAAGCTTGGGCTCTCCCAATTGTTAGCTCAAACTAGGTTCAGGAAAAGTGAAAAGAGAAGTGAATATCATCTTTTAGACTGTAGCTAGGCTCTTTACATTATATAGAATGTGGATCAAATGCAAATTAGGATGTTTAGTTTCCAAGATAAGAGGTTTGATCTCTCAAATCACAGTAACAGAATGCCACTCAGAATCTGGACTACAAACTCAAGAAGCTCGAAACTATCCAGAAGGGAATTGGGATAATGAATCTCACTGGGCCAAGGGTAGGATTTATATTCAGGACCTGTTTGATGAAAAGCTCCCCCAAACCTAAAACTACTTCTTCTTTAATTCCAAATGAACCACCAGTCCATTTAGCAACATATTTTATATATATATAATCTCCTTGGCTAAATGTATTCATGTCTTATCTCTACAACAATTAGAAAAGTAACAATAGAGATACTTTAAAATGCTTTTTCCTGTAGAGTAAAATTTATAATAGGGCTCAACTCTTCATTTTTAAGCACTTAATATAAGCCATGTATAGTGCCAGGTTCTGGTGATACAAAACAGAAAACAGAACGAGCAAGTAAAAAAACAAAAACAAATACAAGAGAGAGGTCCTTGTCCTCGATGCCCTTCCTGGTCTCATGGAAGATGCATATACACAAACTCATTTCATTAATGTACAAAGTACTAAGGGACTGTAGAGAAAGTAGCAATTGTGTCACAGAACAAAGCAGTGTTAAAGAACACTTCATCAAAATTGTTCTTATCAAGTCCACAGTGATATGCTAACTGCCAAATCCAGTTAACATTTTTCAGACTTGACTCTAGGAGCGTCAAGCTCCTAGAGTTGTATTTACAACTGCCACTCACTTCTTCCTTGAAACTCTGATCCCGTGGCTTCTACAGACCACTTTCCACTCTTTCCTGGTATTGCACCTCTTTATCTTTGGTCATTAGTTCATTCAACAGATACTTACTGAATGTCTACTGTGTGCAAAGTATTATCCTAAGCACTAGGGACATGAGACAAACACAGTTCCTGCCTTATGGGGCTTACAGAAATCACTTACTAGATTTAGGCCATTTTTCTTTCTACACTCTTTGCCCAACTTTACATGATACCAACTACAATAGCTTACATAGAATAAACGAGGGTAAAATTAACATTGACTTATATCCCTCATGGTAAGGTTTTGTTTTGTTTTTCCTGACACCACAGAGTTACCTTGAAAGTACATTAGAAGACTACAGGGATAAAAGAAAACCTTTTTTTTTTTCTGTGTTTCCTTTTGTGTTTAATAAATAATGATCTTTTTTTCCCCAAATGATATTTTTAAAAATGTGAACTTTGTTGTATTTAGCCTTATTATTTTCTGATGTATGCCTGTTTACTGGCTTACTATACTATCTCACTCACCACAAGTATGGACTTTCAGTGACCCGCTGGACTTTCAGTCTTATACCAGATTGCTATATCACTATCTACTAGCTCAATACAGTTTGTGAGAGAAGAGGGCTACTTAAGTTATGGACATAAGATGTCTATTCCTCAACAAAGTTAAGGAAATGCTGAATTCTCAAACAAAAAAGCAGTATTCTCAAGAAATGAAATGTCAAGTGACAATAACCACTGGGCAATCTACCTCTACTTCAGCCACAGTATTTTTTAAAAGCAAAGTGGAAATCCAATTTAGACACTTTTACAGAAACATTCATAATGACATTCATTTAACTCCTTTGCCTTTTTAAGTCACCTATGAACAGATTTTACTTAAACAAGATCACATACTTACATGAATGAAAAAATGTCCGTAACATACATATTGTCAAATGAAAAAAGAAAACTGTAGAGCAGAATGTAAATACATTTCTTTTGTCAAAAAGGAAAAAGTACATGATATGTATAGAAAAACATCCAGAATGCTTCATACAAAACCTGACCTTGGCTACTCTGGAGAATAGGATGGAAGGAGGAAAAGGAGAAAGAGAGTTTTCTTTTTTCACTTTATATAATTCTATATGGTTTGATGTTTTCAAATGAGCATGTAATTTTTTATGATGGAAAATTCTGGTTTAAGTTACACACTTGAACTTTACAGAAATAATTTGACTGGCAAAGATTTTTAAACATTGGTAATTCCCAGTGTTTGGAGAGACTGTAGGAAAAAAGGCCTTTTCCATTACTGTTATTTTTACTATAAAACAGGTCCAACTTTTTTGGAAACCTTTCAGAACATTTATCAAAATTTCCTACAGAAATATTCCTACAAGTGTGCAATGATATCCATGAAAATATAAAACTAGTAAAAAGCTGCTTGCAAACCAACATTATAGAAATACTTTATAAATGCCCAACAGAGGAATGATTACATAAATTATGATACATATATGTGGAATACATTAAACAGAATGATAGATATCTCTTTGTACTAACGTAAGACAGAATCAGTAAAGTTATCAATTCTCCCCAAACTTATCTATAGGCCTAACTCAATTCCTTTCAAAATGCCGGCAAAACTTTTTTTATAGGTACAGACAAGATTCTTCTAAAATTTATGCAGAAAGGCAAATGAATAAGAAAACAATTCAGAAAAAGAATAAAGTAAATCAACTGTAATTGAAAACGGATTAAAAATTAATAAAGTGAGGGAAAATCATTCTACCCGGTAAGACTTACTCTATGGTAGTGTGTAAAGGGATAGATATAGAAGATCAATGGAACAAAATAAACTCAGAAATAGATCCACACACTCAATTGATTTTTGACAAAGGTGCCAGAAGCAATTCAAAGGAGTAAAGATAGTCTTCTCAACAAATAATAATAGACCAACTGGACATTTCACAGGTAAAAAAAAAAAGAACCTCAACCTAAATCTTATACTGTATACAAAAATTATTTCAAAGTGGAACATGGATTTAAATGTAGAACATTACAACTCTAAACTTTTCAAAGATAATATGTGAGAATCTTTGTGACCTTGGGTTAAGTAAAGAATTCCTAGAGATATACCAGAAGCACTATACAGACAGAAAAAAATTGGTTCATCAAAATTAAACATTTCTGTTCTTCCAAAGATACTGTCAAAAGACTGAAAAGATGAGACACAAACTGGGAGAAAATCTTTGTACATCATTTATCTAATAAGTAACATGCACCTAAATTATATAAAGAACCCTTAAAACTCATTATTAAGAAAACAAAATAGTTAAAGCTGGGACCAAGAAATCAACAGATACTTCACCAAAGAAAATACAGATGGCAAATAAACACATGAAAAAATGTTTAACATCATTAGCCATTTGGGAAATGCAAAGTAAAACAATGAGATGAAGACCAGGTAAATTTTTTTTAAATGGTAATAACACTAAATACTGTAGAGAAACCAGATCCTTCATACATTGCTGATGGGAATGTAAAATGGTACAGGCACACTGGAAAAAGAGTATGGCAATTTCTTATAAAATTAAACATACATTTTTCCATCATACTGTTGGGCATTTATCCCAGAGAAATGAAAATTTATATTCACACCAAACCCTGTATATGAATGTTCACAGCAGCCTTATTCATAATAGGAAAAATACTGGAAATCTAAATGTCCTTCAATGAGTTAAACAAATTCTGATACAATGGAACACTATTCAGTATTTTTTTAAAAAATGAACTATTGTTACATACAACAATTTGGGTGGATCTCAAGAGATGCTTATTTAAAAAAGTCAACCTCAAAAATGTTGTATTATTCTTTATCTAACACGCTCAAGTGTGAAAACTATGCAGAGATCAGATAAGTGGTTGCCAGGGGACAAAGACAGTGGTAGGTACACACGGGGGGCTGCAGATACAGAGGAACATCAGGGAATTCTTTTGTGGTGAAAAAACAATTCTAAATCTTGACTGTGGTAGTAGCTACATGATGGCATAAAACTATACACAAACATGCACAAATATAGTTTTTTTTAAAAGGTACAAAGTGAATAAAGTCTGTAATCTAGTTCATGGTAATGTACTAGTATCAATTTCCTGGTTTTGATTTTGACCTACAGCTATGTAAGACGTCACCACTGGAGGTAGCTAGGTAAAGGGTACATAGGAATCTCTGTATTATTTTTATAATTTCTTGAATATATTTTAAAAAGATCAGGATATATTCATGAGCAAAGAGCCAATTACAGAATAATTATAAAAATGGCATTTTTATTAAAAAGACAAAAATAAATTTAAAAACATTGTAATTATTAAACATGTTTTATGTAAGTAAGAGAAGAGTATGGAATGAAAATATGGGGCCGGTGGACGCCTCTGAGTAAGCATCGGTGAAATCTCCTCTCCTGTGGTCGTCATGTCTAAGTCAGAGTCCCCCAAAGAGCCGGAGCAGCTACGGAAGCTCTTTATCGGAGGTCTGAGCTTTGAAACAACAGATGAGAGCCTGAGGAGCCATTTTGAGCAATGGGGAGCGCTCACAGACTGTGTGGCGATGAGAGATCCAAACACCAAGTGCGCCAGAGACTTCGAGTTTGTCACACATGCCACTGTGGAGGAGGTGGATGCAGCCAGGAATGCAAGGCCACACACGGTGGATGGAAGAGTTGTGGAACCAGAGGGCTGCGTCAAGAGAAGATTCTCAAAGACCGGGTGCCCACTTAACCGTGAAAAAGATTTTTGTTGGTGGAATTAAAGACACTGAAGAACATCACCTAAGAGATTATTTTGAACGGTATGGGAAAATTGAAGTGACTGAAATCATGACTGATCGAGGCAGTGGCAAAAAGAGAGGCTTCGCTTTTGTAACCTTTGATGACCAGGATTCTGTAGACAAGATTGTCATTCAGAAATACCACACTGTAAATGGCCACAACTGTGAAGTAAGGAAAGCCCTATCTAAGCAAGAGATGGCTAGTGCTTCATCCAGCCAAAGAGGTCGAAGCGGTTATGGAAACTTTGGAGGTGGTCGTGGAGGTGGTTTTGGTGGGAATGACAACTTTGGCTGTGGAGGAAACCTCAGCGGTCGAGGTGGCTTTGGTGGTAGCCGTGGTGGTGGTGGTTCTGGTGGCAGTGGGGATGGCTATAATGGATTTGGGAATGATGGAAGCAATTTTGGAGGTGGCAGAAGCTACAATGATTTTGGCAATTACAACAATCAATCTTCAAATTTTGGACCCATGAAAGGAGGAAACTTTGGAGGCAGAAGCTCTGGCCCCTATGGTGGTGGAGGCCAATACTTTGCCAAACCACGAAATCAAGGTGGCTATGGCGGTTCCAGCAGCAGCAGTAGCTACGGCAGTGGCAGAAGGTTTTAGTTGCTGCCAGGAAACAAAGCTTTAGAAGGAGAGGAGAGCCAGAGAAGTGACGGGAAGCTACAGGTTACAACAGATTTGTGAACTCAGCCAGGCACAGTGCTGGCAGGGCCCAGCTGCCACAAAGAAGACATGTTTTAGACAATACTCATGTGAATGGGCAAAAAACTCGAGGACTGTATTTGTGACTAATTGTATAACAGGTTATTTTAGTTTCTGTTCTGTGGAAAGTGTAAAGCATTCCAACAAAGGGTTTTTAATGTAGTTTTTCTTTATTCTTTTTTTTTTTTTGCACCCATGCTGTTGATTGCTAAATGTAATAGTCTGATCATGACGCTGAATAAATGTGTCTTTAAAAATATATATATATATGGGAAATAGGAATGGGAGGGTAGGCAAAAGCTTTAATTTTTAATTTTATATATTTATTGTTTGATCCTTTTATAAGAAATATAAACTTTTAAAATTATTTAAAAATAGGTCTACCTGACAGGAATGTGAATGATAGGTTAGAAAGAGTTAAGTCTACAGGTTGAGACATTAGTGAGGTGACTATTAATTATAATAATCTAGGCAAAATATAATGAGGGCTTTAGTGACAATTTTAAGTTGAGGATTTATTCAAGGGAAAGAATAAAGAATGAGTAAGTTTTCTAGATGTAGGCTACTGGGTGATGCTAGTGCCCCAATAAACCCGATTGGAAACAATAAGGGAGTAGGTCAAGTAAAGGATAGTGAAAGTTGGAATAGAGAAGGAAAGAAAAACATTCAGTTTAAGGTATGTCTGAAGTTCCACTGGAACATCCAAGAGGAAATGTTCAGCAGGTGGTTGGAGATAATAGGCCTTTGCCCAGAACTGAGTTGAGTCCTCAGGGAAGAGGTGGTGGTTGAAGTTAAATATATAGGCAGAACATCATTCAGTAAAGGAAACTGAAAAGGAATGGGCTAAGAAGTAGGAGAAAAATAAGAATTGAAAATCAAGGAAGGATGGTCAATGATGTCAAATACTGGGGTGAGGTCAAAGTAAGGACTGAAAAAGCACCCACTAAATCTGACAATTATGTGATCCTGTTAACTTGGTATGTTGGGCAGGATAGAAGCCAGATTAAAGCTAAGTGAGGCATGAATGGCAGGTTAAAAAAACAGGAGAGAGATATAACACACTCATAAAAAAACTCTGATCTACACTATACTACAACATAGATCTATACTACAACAAAAATATTAAGTGGAATAAGCCAGACACGAAAGGAAAAATATTCTATGTATTGTATGATGCCACTTATATGATGTACCTAGAAGAGGCAAATTCATAGAAAGTAAAATAGAGGTTTACCAAGGGCTGGGGGAATGGGAGAATGGGGCTATTGTTTAATGGATACAGAGTTTCTGTTTGAGATATGAAAAAGTTCTGGAAATGGATAGTGGAGGTGACTGCACATCACTGTGAATGCACTTAGTACCACTGAATTGTACACTTAAAATGGCTTAAAAGGCAAATATTTTTGTGTATACTTTACCACAATAAAAACAAAAAAAGTCCAGCTGTGAAGAGAAAGAGAAAGGATGACAGCAAGAGGCTTGAAGAAGAATTGAGGGAGATTTTACTCTCTTCAATGGTTTGACAGACTTAACCTTTATATAGGAATATTTTTATCTTGGCCCCAATCTCAGAAGAATCATTGACAGAAAAAATTATTTATTAATGGCTAAACTTACAGAGTAGTCTCATAGGATAGACAGAGAGTGGTACAGTCATGTGCTGCAATACAATAATTTGGTCGATGATGGACCAAATATATGACGATGGTCCCATAAGATCATAATTGAGCCGAAAAATTCCTATCACCTAGTAACATTGTAGCACAACACATTACTCATGTGTTTTTTGGTGATGCTGGTGTAAACAAATCTACTGTGCTGCCAGTCCTATAAAAGTAGAGCAAATTGACAGTAGTAGCCTATATCATCTAGGTTTGTCTAAGTTCACTCTATGATGTTTGCACAATGATGAAATGGCCTAATGATGCATTTCTCAGAATATATCCCCACTGTTAAACAGTACGTGATGGCATACAAGTATGAAAACACTTTAAGCATTATATTATCCTATGATCAATACTGAATCATCTATTCATATTCTTCAAACTGATTGAAACCTTTAGATTTAATAACCACATGGGGGAAAAAAGGACACATGTACAATAGCAGCAAGACTTTTAAATTACCTCGGAAAAAGCTCAACAACAAAAAACAGATTCTCATATAAACATATGAGAACATATAAACCATACAGGAATAAATTAAACAAAAGATACCTAGAAAGTATATAAAGACAACCAGAAGCCTTTATTGAGCCCTGGCTGGTATGGCTCAATGGACTGAGTGCCAACCTGCAAGCCAAAAGGTTACTGGTTTGATTCTCGATCAGGGCAGATGCCTGGGTTGTGAGCCAGGTCCCCAGTTGGGGGTCTGCGAGGGGCAACCGATCAATGTCTCTCTCCCTCTCTCTCTCTCTTCCCTTCTTTCTAAAAATAAATAAATAAAATCTTTAAAAAAAAAGAGAAGACTTTATTGAGGGATGTAAAGGAAAATGTGAATAAATGAAGAAACATAAGCTCCTGGATGGAGAAATTCAGTATTATAAAGATATACACTCTCTCTAAATTAATTCATAAATTAAGTAAGATTTCAGTAATATTTATTTATTTGGGGACAAGTTAGAATCTAACAAAAATGATCCTAGAATTTATTTAGAATACCTAGGTGAAGATAGCCAAGAAACCTAAATTATAAAGTCTGACTGATGATCACAGTAATACTCTCTAATGGTAAGAGTACAAATTAAACAAACATAAATAAAAAATACAAAGTCCCAAAATAGACTAAATAATATATAAGAATTTAGTATATGATAAAGGTAATATTTCAATTAATAGAACAGACTATTCCATAATTAGAACTTGGACACTATGGCTAATCACTTAGAAGAAAAAATATTTACCTTATTACTTTATTTTCTATTGTTAAAAATTGATAAGCATGCTAATATTTAAAATATTATATGTACTGAAAAAAATACAGTTGGATTATCTTGGGAGTAGGAAGGTCTTTTAAACAATTATACCAAAAAGAGAAACCATAAAGGAAATGACTGATATTTTAAAAGGGTGTGGGCAAAAGCAGGTTTATAGTTTTGAGTACACAAAACAGAGTTCATTTGTATATTATTTATTATTGTTATTATTTTCCATTGAAACTGTAAACCTACTTTTGCCCTGCCCTGTATATAAAAATGAAGTTTCTCTGTGTCAGAAAACACTATAAACAAAAGTAAAAGACCTTCTGGGCATTATGAAGTAACTGCTATTGGACTAGTCTTCCCACTGTAACCAGAAAACTGGAAGAAAACATGAAACTTTTCAAACACTGACCAATGGAAATTAAAAAGTGAGCCCTACAACTCTCCATGGCTTTCCACTAAACCCAAGCAAGGCACAGCAGTTTTATTAAGCTACAGAGACAGTGTCTTGAAGTCTGAGAAGGCTAAGACAGCTGGAAATTGCAGCACAGAACTGGAGAGGAGGGAGCTCCATGGACACATAAGATCTGCAGAGAGGCCTCCTTGAGCCTTTCGCTTAATATTAATCCATACATGTATAGGACAAGACTCCACAAAGCGTCCTATAAACAGAACAGCTATCAGAGCTAACACAGGGTTGGGAGTTAAACAAAAGTAGAAAAAAATGTTCTTCCTAAACTTTTTTGTAAATTTATTTTATAACTGATTTAGATTGAAGAGTCCCACTGAGCATTGTAAAACTTCAAGCTCTGTTTTTGACACATGTTCTACCTATCCTAAATCCACCCTGAAGATGGCTTCTTACTAGAACTGATTTATGGGTTTGAAGAGCACGGGAGGAGAAACTTCCTAGGCAATTCTCTGGGAAAAGAGATCTCATCATGAATGGCTTGGCACCACTTACCGGTACAGACCATGCAGTTCATTCCAAATTTAATCAAACATTTAAGTAGTAAGGTCTCTCTCTGCCTGTGTATGACCTTATGGCTTTGTTAAGACTGGCAGAAGTTTGGGTTGTGTTTCTTCAGAAGGGATTATTTACCTATATGATTCTCCTTTCACTAACATGGAATGTTGTACGCCTTCTGAGACTATTGCAAATAGATCCAATCCCAAGTTTTGGGTTTCCCTGATTATTAATGTTCGTTTAGAATGCTATCTGAACATAAACAGAGGCTCTGAGATTGACTCAGTACCTAAGTTGTAATCGGAAGGCATAAGGGCTTGAACTCTATTATAGTGTGCAGTCCCATCGCCACCACTTAAGTATAACACCACGTCTCTCTGACATGTACTGCAGATTTCCAGGTGCAGTTTTATATGCAGTGTTATCTTCCACTTGTAGCCTAATGCCTATAATTCTGGTGCTAGGTATTCTGCCTATATACAATATACCTCATGGACTACATATGTGATAATAAAGGATAAGTCAATGAAGGTATAGACAATTTTATGGAAATATACTTATATGCAGTGCAATATTATATATGAAGGATTTGAAAGGAAAGAGTCAAAGTAATATTAACTAGAGATACCATTCTACTAATTTTTGGTCAGTAAAACAATTTTTAAATTTTAAAGTAGGAAATAGACTCAACATGAACTTTGTTACTATTAATTAAAAACAGAGGCAGGTTTGTATCTGGCCAAATCAATCAAGTTTGAAGGAAAAGCATTATTTTGTGTATAGTACCCGATAGTAGGAAACATCTCAACTCCACGATAGATATCCTTTCAGTACAAAAGATGTCCCATTTCGTATCATATGACACCACCTTTAACACTTATAGCCCTAATCGGAGGCTTCTTATACCGCCATCTACCGGTTAAGGAAGGGTGATGTCAGTCATATAGGCTCTCCACTGCTGCTCCCAAATCATTATTTTCTCTTGGGGAAATAAAATCCCTACTTTGAGGTTTGTTTTCTACTATGCCAGAAATTGATAACCAGTTAG